TAAGAGACTTAATAAAATTAGTTTTAGTTAAACTGCTATTCCCAAATAAATATATCCCTCCTGCTTCTGCGGCTTAATTATTAAATATTAAGGAAGTATTTACAGTAAATCTTTAAGAACCCTCTGAAAAATAGAAACCACCTCCCATTTATGATGCGGTATTATTCAAAAGGATGGAATTTTTTAAATAAAATTTTGAATTTTGGACAAAAATCCCTGCTCCTAACTGCCCCTTATTAGAAATGAATATTGAATTATCAATTTATATTGTACTGTCTATCTTTTTATCTGATTTTGCCGAAATACAACCATAATTTTTTATGGAGTTCATAATGCATTATAGTTCTGAGATTAGAGCTTTTTAGAAATCGATTATTTCTAAATATAGTAAGCCATTCCAACAATTTTAACAATCATTATTAAATGACATAATTTTAGTAAATGAAATTTGAGTTAGATTGGTGATGCTTTTCAATTTAATCAAAGATCCATTCTAATTCGAATTCGAAACAAATTCCTCAAAAAAGGTTGATACCAAATCTTTCTGATTTATTAATTAAATAGTATATAAACTACATTAGGATGAATTAAGTTGAATATAATTATAATTATTTTATTATTAATTTATTCTACTAAATTTAAAATCAAGAAGATTTTAGATTGTAATATTAGAAAAATGTATCTTTGATTCCATGTCATTGCTTTATGAGACATCTACTAAATTTATGGCATAAAATGTTTAAATATTGGTGAATTTAGAATTAGCAATTTTTATTTATTTTGAATCCATAATTTTTATGATCGATGATAATATGATTCCCTCTATTTTAATATCATTTAAGATTAATTTACATCTAACAAAATTCATCATTGCATTATCAGTAAACATTTTTTGTCTTTCTACTAAACTAACTTTTCCTATAGATGAAACATATGCTAAAAAGGCTTTCTCAGACTAAATCATTGTAAAATTATCTATTTTCACATTGTTCTATAAAACGGTTTAAGAATCTAATTTAAAATTCAATATTTAATCAACAAGGGAGAAACAGTCCCTAGCAATGATATTTTTTAATTCTAGATTATTTTTTGAAGAAGATGGATATATTGAAAAGATTGATGATGATAGTTTATTTAATACATCTGTTAAAATAATATTATTAAGATAAAGAGTTAACAAACTTTTTTTGCCACTAATTGTAAAAGCACCATCTTATTCATATGTTGTAATTAATTAATTATGAGCGTGATTAATAGTACAGTCTGATATACTCACTATTCCATCTCCTTTTAAATTAATGTTAAAAATTTGACTGCCTTATGTTTTAATAAAACTAAATAAACCATTTTTAAATGTAAATTTAGTCACCGTTGTTGATAAAGCTCCTCCTATAGTTTCAATATTATATGATTGAGAAATAATATAAGTAATTTCATTTTCATTATAATTGTCTTAAAACTGAATTTCGTAATATTTAACCCAAAACTCTTGATTATGGTAATTATGATTGTTGACTTAAAAGCTTTCTATCGATATTTCATTAGATAAAATAGAAATATATGAGAGGGAAGAATTTGTGAGAGAATTATTAAAGCAATTGACATTTCTCATCATTAAAATACCTTATCCAGAATCGATATAAAGCAGACTTGCTGAAGTTTAAGAAGGATCTTCA